TATGGTATGGTATAATACCAACAACATTCCAACCGATACCTGTTTATGAAATACTGTGACAACAATATTTGTAGTGTTTCGACCAACCATTATCAGCGAAGAGCAACATTTTATCCAGTAATAAGCACTTTAGGGTTGGGGTACTTTTCCAACTATTCCAACCATATTTAGTTGGAATTTTTCAAAAATATTTTGCATTCAATACAAACTTTCATATATCTGCATAATTTAAAAATACCCTAAAGTTTCTGACCTCAGTCGAAACCAAAGAGGTTTCACTCCAAAGCGTGAAGTGCGGTGCTGGCGTTGAGCAGTAGCCATGTCAATAGCATCTCTGGCTCCAGGCAACAGCAAGAAGGCCCGTACCACGGCGATTAAATCCTTCACCACATTCTTAGTAGCAGAAGACATGGACCTCCCCACAGCGTTCCAGCTAATAGATGCTGACAAGACAGGTAAAGTGTTGCGTATTATGCTAGATAAGTATGCATATTCACTAGCCAAGTCGCAGGATAAAGTTCTAGCTACAAATACGTGTTTAGCATACTATGGCAACGTGAAGAACTGGCTAGTGGATAAGTACCCACTACAGGGTGGATTAGTCAAACCACAGCTACAAAAGATTCTTTCAAGTTTGGGAAAATATTGTAACAACAGAGAGGAAAGCGGCAACGAGAAGAAGGCCCCACCATGTTCGAAACAGGATCTGGAAGGAATAGTACGTTTATTGTATACGTCGGCGTCAACCCACAGTGAATATCTAGATGCTGCGCTAGTTGTGATGATGTGGTACCTCTACGGCCGTAGCTCGGACGCAGAACAAGTAGAGAAGCAGCAACTATCAGTCTTACCAGGTATATTGATCTTCTGTGCTATCTGTAAAAGAAGCTAACTAATTTACATAATGTACTTAGGTGGTGTTATATTTCTTCGCTTCAAGAGAGTTAAAACAGCTTTTCTGCAGGGTATTTCCCTGTTCAAAGACCCGGCAAATTTTTTGACGTGCCCGCTGTACGCTTTAGCAGCAGCCTGGGAAAGCAAACCAACCCCGCCAAAACAAAGGTCCCCCAAATTCCAACCAAAAAAACGAACCTCAGAAAGCGTGCAAGACGTCGAGGAGCTTACCCTTGTCGAACTACTTGAAGCTGATAACGACCAGCATACACGGCAAGGGGTAAACCAGCCTTCAGCGTCAAATCCTTCCGTTCCTGGTGCACAAGCGTACGTCAATCGGTTGCTCGTTAGAATTCAAGACATAGCTAAGCTGCAGAGTGTAAAACTTACCGCTGGTCTTACCTCTCACTCTTTCCGCCGCGGAGGGGCAATGCACGCCAATGACGGAAGCGTTGCGGAAAACTGGATCATTGAGCGGGGTGGCTGGCAATTGGATCGCGTGAACAAAGCGTTCGGATACATGCTTGGATCTACGCAGGCCGATCAACAGGTGTCCCGCGTTCTCAGCGGCTGGAAGCCAAAAGATGGAGCCCGACTTCCTTCCTTAGCGGCACTAGAGCAGCCAATCCTTGGGCGCGCTCAAAAGCTTCAGAGTCTTCTTTTCTCGAACACTCTGGGTTTTGATGACGACCCGCTTAACATTGACGAAGATGTTGCAGACG